TTTGTGGTAACAAGATCATTAAAGCCACAGGTGGAAACATGAGGAGAGATAAAAGAGTAAAGATAAGGAAGTTGAAGTTCAATGATCAGAGACTATGTTTGATCAAATGGTTGAGAAAATCTAAGAACAAGTGGAAGACAAAGTGGATATTTTTGGTTTTGAGAAAGTAGCTGAAATACAACAAAGATCAAAAACTAAAGCAGTTGTATCAAAAAGTGTACACAGAAGTAGAGTCTGAGTGTATTCCAAATGTCACTATCTTAAAAATGAAGTCTTGATGAAGAAATGGAGACCATCTCATATTCAGGTGGATGAAAAGTAGACAGAAGTTCATCAAGTTGTATTACCAGTTGGTTATGGAACGTTGGTGTTGAAGTTCGCATATGAATTACCAGTAAGAGATTATTTGGGAGTTAGGAAAATTCAAGCCAACATACGAAGACATTTTTATTGGCATGAACTGCATAAGAATGTGGTTGACTTTTGCACGTCAGGAAATTGGAAAACTTCAGGCAGTGATTAAAACCAACATCCTTAATATCCATTTCCACATTTGAGGAACCTTTTACAAGAATTTTAATTGATTGTGTACAACCCCTACCTAAAACAAAAATTGGGAATCAGTATTTGTTGACCTTAATGGACGTGTCTGCTAAGTTTCCAGAGGCCATTCTGTTGCACAGTATCATGGTTAAAAGGATTGTAGAGGAGTTACTCTTTTCTTACTAGATACAGACTACCCACAGAAATAGAGTTGGATCAAGGATCAAATTTTATGAAGTTATTCAAGAAAGTCATGGATATCTTGGGAATAAAGCAATTCAAATCCACTGCTTATCATTCAGAATTGCAGGGAGCATCAGAACAGTGACATCAAACTTTAAAGACAGTGTTGAGGGCTTATAGTCGACACTGTCCAGAGAATTGGGATAAAGGAATTCTATTTGTACTTTTTGTAATTAGGGATGCACCTAAAGAATCCACCCAATTCAGTCCATTTAAATTAGTTTTTGGGTATGAGGTGAGAGATCACGTAATTTAATTAAGGAGAAATCAGTGAGTCAGTGTCCAAATATGTGGCCTCTGAACTATGTGTCAAATTTAAGCAGAGATGAAATAGAGTGGGTGAGTTGGCTAGACTGCATTTGAAAGTAGCACAGCATGTGGTGAAATAGGAAGCAAACAAGAAGTCAAAAAATTGCACTTTTGCAAGCGGGAGATAAAGTTTACAGTCAGTCATTTAAAAGCAAAGTTTAGTGGGCCTTATCTAATCAAAAGGAAATTTGAGTGAGGTGAATTATTTATTAAAATTGCCAGATAGGAAGAATCTGAGTGTGTCATACGAATATGCTCAAACAGTATTTTGATAGGGAAGGAAAGAAAAAGGAGAAGGTGTTACTGGTTACAATGCAAAGCGAAGAGCCAAGTTCAGATGATTCTGAATTGGACATCTTCCCATTTAATTTGAAGAATGAGGAAGTTCTCAAAAAGTTAGGATAAATTATTGAGTTACCTTTTGGAGGAAAATTGAAATGACCTGAAAGTTATTACAATCACATGGGGAGATTTTCATAGAATCCCTACAGTGTGGAAACAGGCCCTTTGGCCCAACAAGTCCACACCGACCCTCAGAACATCCCACCCAGACCCATCCCCCTAATCTACACATCCCTGAACACTATAGGCAATTTAGCTTGGCCTATCCACCTAACTTGCGCATCTTTGGATTGTGGGAGAAACCCGGAGGAAACCCATGCAGACACGGAGAATGTGGAAACTCCCACAGACAGTCACCCAAGGGTAGAATCGAACCCAGGTTCCTGGTGCTGTGAGGCAGCAGTACTAACCACTAAACCACCGTGCTGCCCTACATGTGTATAAACTAGGAAGTACTGATGTGATTATACATGATATAGATATAGGAAATGCTGTTCCACTTGAGCAATATCCTTATAGACTTAACACTCTAAAGCTGGCACAGGTCCAAAAAGAGATTGAACGCATGCTGAAAGACAATGTAATCAAAGTGAGTTGCAGTGAATGGAGCTCACCCACAGTAATGGTGCTAAAAGCAGATGCTACTCAATGATTGTATGGCCTGTTGCAAAGTCAATGCAGTTACAAAATCTGATTCATATCCTATTTTATGTTTGGTAGACTGTATTGAGAAGTTGGGACAAGCAACTTATATTCAGAGTTGAACTTACTCAGAGATATGGGCAGGGTACTCTTTATCCGAAAGAGCGAAGGATATTTCAGCTTTCATGACACTGGGTGAAATATACCAGTTTAAAGTCATGCCATTTGGTATGAAAAATGTCATTTTGGGATTACCCAATTGTGTGCTGTACATAGAATCTAGTGATCTTTAATAACACATGGAAGGAACATTTGGAGCATCTATCGGAATTGTTTGATCACCTTAAAGAGACGGGCTTAGTGATAAACCTAGCTCAGTGAGTTTGCAAAAGCCCAAGTTATGTTCCTGGGCCATGTCATTGGATGTGGAAAGATGGTCCCACGGGATGAGAAAACAAAGGTTATTAATATACCATTGATGAAGAGGGTAGTTCTACAATTCCTGGGACTGAATGGTTTTTATCAGAAGTTTGTACTGAATTTTGGCAGTGTGGTTGCAGAAGTACAGAAAATTTCAGTGGGCGGAGGAATATCAGAAGGCATTTGACAGCCTGAAAGATGTGTTAAACTGTCAAACTGGCTATCGATACGGGAATAGGTGCAGTACTCTTCAAGAAGATGAGAAGATAGAAAGACCTATTAGGTATTTTTCCAGAAAATTGAATAATCGTCAACCGAAATATTCCATGATTGAGAAGAAGAACTTGAACTTGGTGTTGGTGTTAACATTTCAACATTTATATTGCCAGTGATATGTCTGAGGCAATCGTATACACTGATCATAACCCCTTAAAGTTTTTGGAAAAAATTAAGGATAAAAATACTAGCTTGTTTAGATGGAGCTTATGATTTGCAGCCTTTTAATTTGAAAGTTACACATTTGGCAGAACAAGATAATGGAATTGCCAATGCATTGTCATGACTTTGATGAAGGAAAATGGAGGTGTTCGGTGGTGGGGGAAAAAATGGACTGCACTGGACTGTTTGCATGCCTTAGAGTCAATGTAATGTATGTGTATTGTAGTGAACTAATAGCCTAAGACTAAAGCCAACTTTGTATATTGATGGTTCATGATCTCTAGGGGCAGTGGAGGTGTGACAGTGCTAAGGCTTTAAGAGGTATGTTTTATCCTAGGTTTTTTTTTAATACGAAGGAAGGTTGAGACAGGTGGCAAGTAATCTGCTCCAAAGCCAATAAAATAAACAGCTTGTGAGGCCTTTGTTTTTTTTTAAGTTGGAACAATAGAAGCAGCGTGAATGGGTGTGGTCAACTCCCACAGAAGCAGGATTTTTTTCTTAGTTTTAGCCTTCAGTTGCAGTTGCTGGGGTTTTGAAGCTGGATGTAGAAGCTCTTCTTCCTATCTCTGTCACAGCTAAAAGTTGGGCTTCTCTTCCTGCTGCTAGAATTACGTGCAAGACAATCTATTTTACTGAGTTTGCCTTTGCCAAGGAGGTGCTTATGGGATGTTACTATATTGGAATAGTTAGTTAGTTTTTATTTATAATATATTATTTTGTTAGGCATTTCGATAGTTAGAGAAAAGCCAGTTTTTATTTTTATTTTGTCTGTATTTTAATTATAGTGTATGAATAAAGTGCATTTTTTTCCAAGCCTGGTAGTTTGACCAATCGAATTGCAACTGGACCACAACGCCTTAGACTTACCTTTTAAAATTAGAAAAAGTTAGTGTCTAAATTGTCGTCTTAATATATGTTGAGGGGGTTTCGTCTGGATCGTAACTTCAGTCGTTTTTCTTATCCCTGATCTTTTTGTTGCTCTCCCTCACCGTAGGGCTTGATGTCATAAAATTTGATACTTTTTTTTAAAAGCTGTGTGAACCCTGTAGAACCCAGCTGAAAGCCAAGGAATCGAATCAAGATACACAATTTGAGTATTGATCTTGGTCAAAGTATTCATATGCAACCTTATCAAATGCCTTCAAAATTTTTATGTACTTAAGATTATCCATTAATTTCATAACTAATCCCAAAACAAATTTGATAATTGTTGTTACTTGTTACTTGTAAATCAACGTCATTGCTCCTTATGTCTACTATTTTCTTCATGTTGACATAGAATCTTATTGGGTCGTTTTAACTGCTTCCAAAGCAGCTGTTAAGAGGTCAGATAAAGGTGACACAAATGATTTTTAGAAGTTTTGCAGAACCCTTTTGTTCTTCAGAATGTAAGAAGTCTAGAAAGAGACAATGCTTTTGAATCGAGTAATGAAAAATGGAGTTATGGGTTAATGTGTGACTTGAGTGGAGGTCATGGTGTATTGCTGCTTTTAACTGTGGTATTATGGATTTCATTGAAAAAGATGGTACCGTCATAAGCTGGGTGAGCCACAACATTGTATTTGGTACTTTGCACATAATACTCCCAGTGCCCATTTCCAGCAAAATGTCTATGCAGTTAAGTCCAAAGAAAAAAGTGTTTAGTTTCTTGAATTGCTTCAGCTGCATCCATTCAGATGAGCATTCCGTTATATTATTGACTTGAGCCTTAAACTTTGAGTTTTAAGGGAGTCTGAGAATCAGTCTCTAGTTGCTGATAACTAAGTTCCTGCCCTGGCCTTAGGCATTATCAAGAACCTGCTGAATGACATTGAATTGAAGAATTGCGTAGAAAATCAAGCATTCAAATGTGACCTAATTAACATGCCCGCTAAATGTCAATGTGAAACCATTTTCCAGATGTGCAAGAATAGTTTCTGAACAAGAATTTCATCCTGAGCAAACTGTGTTCATCACAGATGAGATGTTCTTTGAATCAGTTTCATGTTAAAAGTTAGTTGTCCTTGTAGCCGATCATTACCGTAAAGAACGAAGAACTCACTGAATGTTGTCTGTTTCTACAGCTGAAATTCCCAGATAATATGAAATATTGCCAGTAAATGTGGATGCCATTTATGTGGAAAATTCTTTAGTTGAAGAGAAAAATCAACATGGCTTTGGCTGGCTGTCCAGATTCTTTTCTTCACCATCCCTACTATCAGGTTGGGCCACTTCTTATTTATATGTCAGTGAAATATTTTATTCTGTACCTCTTTAAGGAATTAATTTATAAGTAAAAATAGTGAATAGTGGTGTTCTAATCTTAGTTTTGTTAATTCTTAGTCATTAGCATGACTACTTTAAAGTAAAGCAAAGTCCCTGTGATTAAAATATCATTGAAACGGTGATTTCAATTTTCCCCATTATTTAAAGTACTTGAATTCCAAATTTTTCCTGATCATTATATACACGGAGTATGTAAACAATGAGAATTATGTCAATGCAAGTCTTTGGAAGGAAGGCAAATTAAGTAAAGAAAGATAATCAAATTAAATTATAATTGAATATAACAATGTATTCTATGAACATAATGATGAAAATCAGAGGCACTTAGGACCACTAGGGAATGCACATGATTGATCACCTTGAGGGTAATGGAGAAATGGCTGAATTATTAACTAACGTAGTGTAACTTTTTAGTAGGAAGGAGAACATGGTAAACGTGGAACTAGAGGAGATACAAGAAGATAAATACCATTTGAGGTAGAAAGCAGGATGATAATTAATTTAATGAATCTAATCTGTAGAGGACAATGCTTCTGATATTGATGGATTGCATCCTTTCATGTTAGACGAAGTTTAGGGGGACAGTAAATGTGATTCACATTTATAAAGCAGAGGTAAAACAAATTTGGGAAACTATAGACCATTTAGCTTAATGGTGGTAGAAAAGACAATGAAATCCTTATGAAGTAGAAGAACATGAAAAAACTGAATATCATAGCACAGATTCTGAAAGGGAAGGGAATTTGAAATCACCAGACTATATTAGAAAGGTTCAAAACAAGCAAAAGCTTAATTACTTTGAAATCTGTTATCAATAGACATTTCTAGCCAGAGATTTAAATGGCTGTGAAACTAAGGCAGGCAATTGAAGTTAAGGTACGACCCACAATTCTTTCTTAATGGCAAAATACCCTTGAGCCGCATGGTCTATCTACTCCATTTTCTATGCAGCTATAAACTGATTTCTGCAGGTACATATTTCTGTGTTGAAAATGTTGAATACAAATTGAATATATTTTAGGAATGCTTCCAAAAATGCACTTCTTTCTCTTAAGTTCATCACATCACGTCAATTGATTTGGTTTCCAAGAAGTTGTTCACTGTTGTGATTCAGGTATGGTATTCAGAAATGCTAATCTGTGCATTTTATGCATTTGCAATATTCCGATAGAATATGTACGGAAATTTAAACTGATGGAACACTGTACATGTCAAGTTAATTGCTCTTTGCTCTGGAAAAATATCAAGAAAAAGAACTTCAAATTGCTGCAACACATGCTGGTAATTTAATTTTACAATTTTGGTGGAAATCTTTGAAACCAGAGTGCCCTCTGGTGTACTGAACAGTTTTGTTCTTTTAAAATCAAAATTCTATCTAACATTTTCCATTGCTATGTTTTATTTGAAATTCAGTTTTGTCAAATTCACGATGTGTGTTAAGCATCATGCCTTTTTTTTTTTAAAAAATGGCCTTTTCTTGAGGATCAAATTAAATATTCTGTTTAAACGATATGCAATTATTGAACAAGAATGTGCACAGAAGATAAGATATTGTGGTTGGTTGGCTCGCTGAGCTGGTTCATTTTTCCCAGACGTTACATTACGCTCCTGGGTAACATCATCAGTGCAGCCTCCGATGAAACGCTGTTGTGTTTTCCCACCTATTATTTAAACTCTGGTATCCGTTGAGCTGAGTTACTTCACTTCTGGTTTTCCTTCGCAGTGGAGAATATATAGCTGTATGTGTTTGTTGATGACCTTCTTAGCGGAGAACCAGGCCTCTAGGAATTCCTGTGCTTGCCTCTGCTTGGCCTGTCCCAGGATCTTGGTGTTGTCCCAATCAAACTGGTGGTTTTCCTTATCCATGTGGTTGGAGATGAGTGAGTATTGGTCGTGTCTTTTTGTTGCTCGTTAATGTTTGTGTACTTTTGTGGCTAATTTCCTTCCTGTCTGTCCAATGTAATAATTGACGCAGTCTTCGCAGGGGATCTTGTATATTACGTTGGTCCTGTCCATAGTGGGTAATGGGTCTTTGGTTCAGGTTAGCTGTTGGCGTAGGGTTGATGTGAGTTTGTGTGCTACTCTGATGCCCAGTGGTCGAAGGAGTCTTGTGGTCAGTTCAGATGTGTCCATGATGTAAGGTAGTGTGATGAGTTTGTCGGGATGTGCAATATCTTCCTGTTGTCGTTTGTGTAGTAGGCATCTTCTGACCCAATTGTTCAGGTATCCGTTGACCTTGAATACTTGGAGGAGGTACTTTTCTTCTTTTTGGTGTAGTTCTGTGTTGCTGCAATGTATTGTTGCCCGTTTGAGTAGAGTTTTCATGCAACTTCATTTGTGGATGTTAGGATGGTTGCTGTTGAAATTCAGGACTTGGTCAGTGTCTGTGATTTTCCTGTGTACCTTTGTTAGGAATTCCCCACTGGTCCTGCGTTCCACCATGATGTCAAGGAATGGGAGCTGTTTGTTCTTTTCCTCTTCCTTGGTGAATCTGATCCCGGTGAGAGTGTTGTTGATTAGTTTGTGTGTCTCCTCTAGTTTGGTCCGTTTAATAATTACAAAGGTGTCGTCCACGTATCGTATCCGTAGTTTTGGTTGGATTAGTGGAAGGGCCATGCTTTCGAGTCTCTGCATCACTGCTTCAGCTATTTGCGCGAAGGAAAACCGGAAGTGAGGTAACCCAGCTCAGTGGACACCAGAGTTTAGACACCAGGCGGGAAAACACAACAGCGCTTCATCGGAGGCTGCACTGATCATGTTACCTAGCAGGGTAATGAAACATCTGCGGAACAACGAACCAGCTCGGTGAGCCAACCAACCTCAGTATCCACCACCCGAGCTACAAATCTACTCGAAAGCCTTAGAAGATAAGATAATTGTATGTTGGCTCACTTATAGAAAAGATAATGCAGTTATTCGGATCATTTCTGAGGCTGAAAAAAAAAAGAGTACAAAACATTACTTGCTCTCACAGAAACTGTTTCAGCTCTTATTAAAATTCAGAAGATATCTGTCCACAAGAGACAATGGCTTTTTCACTCCACCTATGTTCCCTGGATGACAAAAGTTGCAATAGTGAAAGCATGTATGATGTTTCAAATTGATAATGCATGCTGATGATAACAAGTTCAGAGGGTCAGTCATATGGATAATAAGACTGACAAAGAGTAGATGAGACTGTCCCCCAACAAAAAGGAATCCAAAAGTATTCTGAAGGCATAAGGAGAGGAGTTGAACAGATCATGAACCAAAGTGGGCATTTGCACATGGAGGCAGGGGGTATGTCAGAAATTCTAAATGATCACTTTGAATCTGTCTTTATCAAAGGAGATGCTACCAATGCCATAATCAAAGAAGAGGTTGTTAAGATACTGCATTTAAACTTTTTGAGTCACCTGGTCCTGATAGGATGCGCCTGAGAGTACTGGAGGAATAAAAAGAGCCATTCAGAGGCAGCGGCTATAATTTTCTGATTCTCCTTAGATACAAGAGCTTTACTAGAAGATTGCTGATTTGCAAATTTTAGTATTGTTCAAAAGCTGTTTGAGGATATGCCAAGCAACAAGCCAATAAAGTTTACCCTTTTTGGGAAGACCATAATTTGAGACAGCATTAACTCACTTCGACAAGTGTGAATTATTTTAGGAAAGCCAACACAGATTCATTAAAAGATAAATCATGTCTAATTTAATTTAAGTTCTTTGATTAGGCAATGGTGAGGGCTGATGAAGGTAATATGGTTGATATGCGTATGGGGTTGTGACGGGCAGTTAATAGGTTTGCAAACTAATTTGAAGTCTGTGGAGTAAAAGGGATAGCGACAGCATAGATTGCAAGAATAGTGATGGATGGAAGAAGTTATATGGTGAAGCTTTCCAAAATATATTAATCGCCCTGACTATTTCAGTAGGCTGTACTTCCAGGTGATTGAGAACTTGCATATGCTGTGAAGTGGATATTAAGCATTCAAAAGGATATGGAGGAGCAGATGTATGCCTGACTGCATCGGCACTTGCATGAGAGCCATCTTTGAGTTATGGATAATCACTGTGATTTGATAAGGATTATAATTAGATCATCAAAAATAGGAGCAGCAGTAGATTATTTGACCCTTCAAGCCTGTTCCATTGGTTGATCTGATGTGACCTCAATTCCACATGATCCTTTACTTCCTTGTCAATCAAAAATCTGTCTAAGGAAGGCTTAAATATATTTGATGAGCCAGTCTCTTCCATTGTCTGGGATAATGACTACCACTACTAATTTCCCTTTATATGGTTGACTTTAATAATGTTGACAATGATTTCTCTTTGACAGAACCATGCTGACTGGACCTGATTGTGTGATGATTTTCTAAACGTCTTGTTTGTGCTTGCTTAAAATGGATGAAGCATTTTCATAATGATAGATTTTGGGCTAACTGGTTTCTGGAGGATTTCTGGCAACTTCTGTTCTTGAATAGGTGCTACATTTTGAGGTTTTCCAATCTGCTGGGGACCTTTCCAGAAAATAGGCAGTTTTTGAATGATACAACCAATTAATCTACTGACTCTGCATCCATTTTTTAAGACTGTCAAGTGCAAGCCAAGGAATGTGTCAGCCTTTGGGAAAACTATTATTTTTTCAGTAGTGATTGAGATTGTTTTAACTTCCTCTGCTTTGCTCCCTTGCTTTTTATTTTTCTTGGAATTTTCTTTGTCTCATATTGTGAAGGTAGATACAAAATGTCTATTTAATATTTCCGTCGTTTCATTAGTGCTTCCTATTAAATCCCCAGTCTCATCCTCTGTGAAACCAATGCTCAGATAGCTGCTATATTTATAGAAGCACGTGCTGTCCATTTTTAAATTTCTTGTTAACTTTCTCATACTGCCAATTTTGGGAACCTTGTTCTAGAACATATTGTTTCACGAAATTATCCTGAATCCATCCTGTG